CGGAGACTTGATGCTCGAAGGTCAGGGATTGTCTGATCAGTTTCATTATGAAGCTGGAAACAACCAACAGAGTATCTATGGTGAATCTGCGCTTGGTTCTTCTAGACACATGGAATCATTCGGAAGTGAATCAGCCATGTATGAACACGGGTTAGTTGATGCCGAGCCAAATGAGTATGCAGAGGGAAACTTAGATCCCCATTCTGATACCGAGGGCGAAAAAGATGCCGAAAAATCAACGCACAACCTTCCTTGTGAAGCTTGGTGGAAAAGGAGAGCTATTTCTATGTATTCACGCACAAGAGAAGCAAACGCGATATGGTCCTTATTCTTTGCAGCTGCAGTCGCAGGACTCGTAGTTCTTGGTCAACGCTGGCAACAAGAGAGGTGGCAGGTTTTGCAACTCAAGTGGAAATCAAGCATCAGTAGCGAGGTAATAATCTATAAACTCACCGAAAAAACTTCAGTTAAGAATCATCATGTTTAACAAATGGTAACCACCTAAGCGATTCTTTAACGACTCTTGAATGTTTTGATCCCACACAGAAATTGAGCAGAGTACTCGAACCTCTCTCGCGCTTGAAAGACGTGATTGTGAGAAGTAACCCACAAGCTTCGCTCGTAAGGAGTGGTTCATCCAGTGAGGTCTAGAGGCAAAGTATGATAAACTCAAAGAGACAAAAAGACCAATGTAACGTTTGTTGCTTTGACAATCTCAAACAAGGATAGGTAAGTACAAATTTGGTCTTGAGTTACATGTGTGCATGATTGTCAAAAGCTATCTGCTTTCTTGGGAGCCTATGTTGCTTCATTATCTTGTACCATTAGAATGGAGATCCAGTTACCTTCTTACAAAGCAAATCTCTTTAGGTGTCAAAAGCGCTTGTTCTAGGGTGGAAACTGGAAAATATACACATATATTCTTTTTTATTTTTATTTTGGTAATTATCTATTTTTATTAACTTTTTTTTTTCTCTTCTTTTTCACTTTCATTGTATGCTTACTATAAGAGGCCAAATATTTAACACATACGTTCCAAATTTCCAATTTGCAGTAGAAAAGACAGAATCGTACAAAAGTATTAAATGGTGAAATGGATTTGTAGAAGCATGACACATAACTTATTTAACTGAAAGTTTACGAAATGACATGCAATACTACTTATTAAGCTCCTAGTATAGAGTATAAATTGCCATTTCACAAAAATGGTAAAAAGCGTAAAAATGCTGCTGAAATCGCAAATCATGTTTTGACTACCAAAGAGAATCAGTGTTACACCGATACAAGCTTTAGCATGTGTCGCAGTAGTCGAGACAAAATATAAATCCGTCATTCTTTAGTTTCGGTAGTAAACGAGAGAATAATGATCGTAGAAAATTAAGTAAACATGTGATTATGTGTATTGAATTACTAGCCTCTAGAGTGGTTGAGTGTTGTCTGGATTACTAGTATTAAATACCATGTGAATAAGTGACGGGGTAACTAACTATCATAATGATTCATTCATTATTTTAGCTAATTTTCAATATATCTCCTTTTGATTCTATATATGGTCTTAAATGCAAAAATGAGACAAGTAACAAGTAAGTGACCAAATTTTTTTCACTTAAGTGACCAGTTTTATGTGGGACAAGACAACCCACGGAATCTAAAGATTTTTATTTTGTTTATTAGTTTACGTGATCGGTTAAGTTTGTTTGTTAAGTAGTAAGAATCGTCACCAAAGACTCATCACCATTCATGTGCCAAATTTCGAATAGATTTTAATTAGTCATATATAAAGTCATAGCATTTATTCAATAAACAAGTCATAGCTATCGAGAATTTCTTCATTTTTTTATTTTTTGGTAAATAGTGTGGGATGGATATACTTGATGTACCTAACCTAACTATTTTATTGTCTATCATTTATGTAACTTCTCGTACGTAACTGTCAATTTTCAAGTATAAACGTTAATTAATTTTAAAAGATATTATATGAATATGATCTAGAAAAGTATGGTTTCTTTGCCGTTGATGGGAAGGTAACCTAATTAGATAACTTATATTCTCTGTCGATTTGTCCTTTGTCTTAAGTTTTGACCTAATATTGCATATTTATTTAGCCACATAATACACTAACATGTGTAAAAATTCACATTCTGCAAAGATAGATGAGTCGTAAAAAACAAAGAATTTGACAAAAAAAAATACTCCTTCCGTTTTCGAATAGTTATCGTTTTAGAGAAAATTTTTTGTTTTTAATTAGTTGTCGTTTTCAGTTTTCGATGCAAAATTTATTACTTTTTTATTTTTTATATTTATTTTTATTATGCAACTTGATTTACTATTGGTTAAATTATGTTTAGATAGATAATTAATGATATTTTTATATTGAAAACTAATAACATTAATAGTTTCTTAATGGGTGAACGACCTGTGTCCCCCCCACGAAGTTTCATATAGTACCATAACAACACAGATTTCGGGTCTCGTCTCCAGTCCACACAAAACGAAAGTTAAACTCTAGTTTCCCCCTAAATTGAAAGTTCGAGACCTCAGTCTCCATAAATTCAATTTTCGTGGTTTATCATTGGTTTACTGTGCTGAACCCGATGTCAAACCAAAACCCAGAATAATAAACCGATTTGAAATCCAAGATGATACAGATGTCGAACCTTGTCGCTGGGAGATTCTTCCCGCCGACGGCAACGTTCTCCATGATTGATGATGCTAATGAATCGTAAAGAACCAAGATCACTTAAGGATCAAAACCACATTGTATCTATCTTTTGAAGAAAGACGATGAATAAAGGTTGAAAATTGAAAGGAGAGTAAGGATCGTGGTGAGTTTTTTTTTTCCGATCAATCTTTTTTTTTTAATTGTTCTTGGTTTAGGATTACCCATAAACAGATTTGACAAAAGAATAGTTTCGTTGGCTCACAAATATCGCTTTGAGCAGTAAAACGCGGGTAATCACTATTTTCTAATCTCTTTATTTATTGGATCCATACATAATTAGATGAACTTATATAATTAACCAACGCCATTGATAACTTAAAAAGAAGCTTAATTAGCTTAATTTAATATGAAATGAAAATACAACCTGGAGATTGTTTTAAATTAATTCAAACGTTGACATTTGTGGTTATAACCAGTCCAATTTAGCTTCTATCTAATATAGCAAAATTAATCATCACTGCACTAATTAAAGACGAGAACTTGTTCGATTTCAAATGAAAGAGATGACATTACCTGACCAAATACAATTATCAACGACGAGATTGAACAAGTTTAAATCTTCTAGAGATTTATCAATTGATTCTTCAGAAGACGACGCGAAACTGTGGAGCATCTTTGCCGTCGGCGGGAAGAATCTCCCAGCGACAAGGTTCAAGATCGTCGGAAACTGGTGGCCGCTACGGAGCCGAACTCGAAAACCGTCGCGCGATCGGGCCGAGGAACTTCTATGGCTCCGTTCATCCCCGGAGCTGGAGTTTATGATTTCGGCATCTGTATCATCTTGGGTTTCAAATCGGTTTATTATTCTGGGTTTTGGTTTGGCATCGGATTCGGCACAGTAAACCAATGATAAACCACGAAAATTGAATTTATAGAGACTGAGGTCTCGAACTTTCAATTTAGAGGGAAACTGGAGTTTAACTTTCGTTTTGTGTGGACTGGAGACGAGACCTGAAATCTGTGTTGTTATGGTACTATATGAAACTTCGTGGAGGGACACATGTCGTTTACTCTTTCTTAATTTGTGTGTATATAGTTAAAACGATAACTATTCGAAAACGGAAGGAGTATATATATTAACTGAACCAACTGTCAATCAAGTTCATTTAAAACTCACCTTGTTTCATACCGCTGTTACGAAAAATAAAACTATTTCGACGTATTAAAGTTCGAGCCGGGTATTCTGCAAATTCTTGGTTCGCAATTCGAAAAAGTTGACTTTCGTTGGTCAATGCATTCATGCTTTCATAAGAAAAGTCAAAAACTATTTTCTTTAAAAAGTTTCCTTCCTCCCCATTATCCACTATAAGGTTTATATATAGTCTTATAGTTTCTTTAGCTTAATTATAGCTTTTCTTTTGTGATTTAGTTTTTCGAAAATTGAACTCCAATTCAGTACATGTCGACGTATTTGAGTCCCCCCCCCATTTGATATTACAACGTGTGGTTTAGTGGTTATCAAATTCAAAATTTAAAAGATTCAATCCTCGACACGTGAAAATGTAGAATTATAGGAGTGTCTTTATGTATGTACATATCACAAGTTCTCTCGTATGAGTATGTATTGGTTATTGCATTGATTTATCATGATCACGCATTAAGAAGGCGACACATTATTATATGTTATAAACATTGAATACTTATAACGTCCTTTTAAAAATATTTAGACAAAAAAAAGTCACCAAACCCATAAGCAACCTACATGTGTTGTGTAGGTGAGCAAAAATATCATTGGTGAGTTTGTTCACCCATACCCTAACAATCTCAAATCTAAAACCCTAAATACTCATTCCTACACTCTATACCACAAAAATAGGATTCTATATATAATTATATACACGCACATACACTTTGTCAAAGCGTATAAAAAAAAAATTGAAATAAAATCAACGAAATAACGTGATATGGTAATAGTACATCGTTAAATGAAAATAGTTTAACTTAAACTTGAAAAAGTGGAATGGCATGCATTTTCATATTTTTGTCATAAAATGATATACAAATAGAATAACCGAACATAAATCACTTTTTTACATAATTTTGTAAATGAGAAGAAGAGAATTAAAGACTATAGAGTGGCATAATTAATGGCGAAATCACTATCATTTTGCCGTTATACAATCTACTGACCAATGACCATGACTAATAATACATCTACCAACCATCATCTCCCTCAAACCGACACCGAATTACAAAACCCTAATTTAATAGCCACGAGAATAAGATAAAATGAGGAGGCAACATCCCATGCTTACTTTGTGACTTCTTTTACACGATTTTCTAATACAAAAAAAAATACTACTTGATAGTTCTCTCTTTTTTGGGGGTTTGAATTAAATTGTATATAAATGGTTCATGCTCGGACATTGAAAAACTGTGGGTCATTTAGTCATAGATCTCTCTCTATCTTCCTCCTCCTCTTAGGCTCCTCAACTAAACGTCTTTAATGCTCTCTCTCTCTCTCTCTCTCTCCATTCTTTACGACCTCATAGACTTGAAAATTTTACCATTCGATTTTTCAAAACCTTTATTTTCATCTATATATTGAGATTAACATATAAAGTCTCTCCAACCACCTAGCTACCAGCCTAGAGCAGGAACATTAATGGTGGTGCACACCATCTCATGCTTCACATACCCTAAAGCTCTTCACTCCAAGTTTATGAGAGATCTACAGAGATAATCATATAGAGAAAGAGAGAGAAATAGAGATCTAGAGAGAAAATCCATTGAAGGGGGAAAAAAACAGTCTGTCTTTCATAATTGCTCTTTCTATAAATCTTCTCTCGTGTTCTTACATTTCTTCTAAAACCATTCTCTCTCTCTCTTCAAACTTCATCACTCTTTACGGAAAATTTCTTATTTTCACCACCTGGGCCGTCTCTATATCCGTCTACTTCTCAACTTTTGTGCCAAAACGTCATTTCTTCTGAGGGAATAAACACAAAACATTTTCCCGGAAAATCATGGAGATTTCCACCGCTCTAATGATTCTTTCAGCCATCACGGCGTATTTCTTATGGCTCACATTCATATCTCGTTGTCTTAAAGGTCCACGTGTTTGGCCCATATTGGGTAGTCTCCCTGGTCTAATCGAGAACTGCGAGCGAATGCACGACTGGATCTCCGACAACCTCCGTGCTTGCTCCGGTACGTATCAGACATGCATCTGCGCCATTCCGTTTCTAGCTAAGAAACAAGGTCTCGTCACTGTCACTTGCGATCCAAGAAACCTCGAGCATATTCTCAAGAATCGCTTTGATAATTACCCTAAAGGTCCGACGTGGCAAGCCGTTTTCCATGATCTTCTTGGTCAAGGGATCTTTAATTCCGACGGTGACACGTGGCTTTTTCAGCGTAAGACCGCCGCTTTGGAGTTCACCACAAGGACACTCCGTCAAGCCATGGCTCGTTGGGTTAATAGAGCGATCAAGCTTAGGTTTTTGCCTATTCTTGAAACGGCTCGGCTCGGCTCTGAGCCGATTGATCTTCAAGATTTGCTTCTTCGGCTTACATTTGATAATATCTGCGGCTTGACTTTCGGGAAAGACCCGCGGACTTGTGCACCGGGTCTTCCGGTGAACACATTCGCGGTGGCTTTCGATCGAGCCACCGAGGCTTCCCTACAAAGGTTTATATTGCCGGAGATATTATGGAAGTTCAAGAGATGGCTCCGACTCGGCTTAGAAGTCAGCTTGACAAGAAGCTTGGTCCAGGTAGATAATTATTTGTCTGAGATTATTACGACACGTAAGCAAGAAATGATGACTCAGCATAACGATGGGAAACACCACGACGATCTCTTATCGCGGTTCATCAAGAAGAAGGAATCTTACTCCGACGAGACCCTCCAGCGCGTGGCGCTCAACTTCATCTTAGCTGGACGTGACACGTCATCAGTCGCGCTGAGCTGGTTCTTCTGGTTAATTACGCAGCACCCGACTATAGAGGATATAATCCTCCGGGAGATCTGCACCGTTCTGATCGAGACACGTGGCGATGACGTGGCGTTATGGACCGACGAGCCGCTTTCGTGTGAAGAGCTAGATCGATTGGTTTATCTCAAGGCGGCGTTATCGGAGACTCTGAGGCTTTATCCTTCGGTGCCGGAGGATTCGAAACGCGCCGTGAAAGACGATGTGTTGCCGGACGGGACATTTGTGCCGGCGGGATCTTCGGTTACTTATTCGATTTACTCTGCGGGGAGGATGAAATCGACTTGGGGAGAGGATTGTTTGGAATTCAAACCGGAGAGATGGATCTCGCAATCGGACGGTGGGAGATTTATCAATCATGATCCATTTAAATTCGTGGCGTTCAATGCTGGCCCTAGGATCTGTCTAGGTAAGGATCTGGCTTATCTACAAATGAAATCAATTGCGGCGGCGGTTTTGCTCCGCCACCGATTGACGGTGGTGACGGGGCATAAAGTGGAACAGAAGATGTCATTAACTCTATTCATGAAGTACGGTCTTTTGGTTAACGTCCACGAACGGGATTTAACGGTGATCGCGGCGGATTTACGAGTGAAGACAGTGTAAATCTAACGTCGTCAATGACGGGGTTGGTAACGGCGTTTCAAGGTGGGTAGGGTAGGTGAACCAATCGCATCTATCATTTACTGTCTAATAGAGAGTGGCACTCGCCTTTTGGGCGCGTGTTAGATACGCGGTTATTTGGCCAACACAGCAAGCACGCCCAGTTGTCGTTGAATGGTTTGGCTGCATAATTCAATAGAGGTAATTTTGCAAAGTGCGTTTGTTCTGTTCCTTTTTACTCATCTGCCTCGGTAATTCAGACAGTAAAATTTGATTTCATTATTTTGTAAGCAACTTTCAATTTGATTTAATAATTCTTATTTTTAATCTTCAAATAAGGTTTCATTTTTAAGGTTAAAGAATCTCACATTGTTTCGAAATCTGATCGCCATGGCCACATTTTTATTTTTTTGTCTTAATCCGAATCTTATGGTAATCCATAGAATAACCGAATAGCCCTCTATGTTTCACTGTTGTTTCTTACAAATCATTTTCCAGGTTTTTTTATTTATGGTGAAATTGCCATTAGTTGTTAATTCCTAGTTTTATTTAGAGGAGCCATTTTGTTGAACCTGAGCCAATTTTGTCAGTTATCATTTGGCATGATTCACTTGTAATGGCACTATTCGTTTGTAGCAGATTATAACATAATGCATTAAATATGTTTGGTCCACTTTGATTCGAGATAAGTTGCCTGCTTGAGAAAAACCCAGAATGTGCCAATTATAGAAATCCTTTGATAAATGGAGAAGAAATATTACAGATGTTTCTGGGGAATATCTTTGTTTTACATAAGTCTCCATTAGGCAAAGAAGAGGAGAACAACAGATACACACGGCACACACAGGTAGCAGATTCACAAAAAAAAAAAAAAAAAAAAAAAAAAGCAAACTAAGAACGAAAGCCAGATTTAAAACAAGAACTCAATCAGCTTAGCTTCTGGACTTGAATGGGATGGCTCTGATGACTATAACGTGGTAGAGAGCAGCAAGCGCAGCACCAATGAATGGTCCAACCCAAAAGACCCACTGAAAAAAGAAGAAACAAAGAGATTAGTTATCCGATAATCATCCAAACCTGACTGTGAATTGTAAATTTGGTGAGAAGTGAAAAACTCACATGGTCGTCCCAGGCGTTGTCCTTGTTGAAAATGATTGCAGCTCCAAGACTTCTTGCTGGGTTGATTCCGGTTCCAGTGATGGGGATGGTTGCTAAGTGAACCAAGAACACAGCGAATCCGATTGGGAGCGGTGCTAGAATCTGTCAAATTTTCAAAACCAATTTAAGCGTTTAGATCCAATGTCACAAAACCAAAATCCATCCTTTATTGATAGTGACTTACAGGAACATGAGAGTCACGAGCGTTTCTCTTGGCATCAGTGGCTGAGAAGACGGTGTAAACAAGGACAAAGGTTCCAATAATCTCAGCTCCAAGACCACTTCCTTTTGTGTAACCATGAGCTATGGTGTTGGCTCCACCTCCCAAAGCCTGGTATTGCTTTGGCTGGAACCCCTTGACCACACCAGCTCCACAGATAGCTCCTAAGCACTGCATCACTATGTAGTACACAGCTCGTGTGAGCGAAAGCTTCCTGGCTAAGAACAAACCGAACGTAACCGCTGGGTTGATGTGTCCACCTGAGAGGTCATAACATACACAAACACAGATTAAAACATCTGCAGATCAAATCATTCTACACAGAACAAAGCTGAAACTAACATCAAATTCATTTTACTGAGTTTGTAAGCCCTAATTGGCTAATTTGTTCCTGATTGAATCCTAAACATGCTAAGATTTGAATTTCGCTACCTAGCTAATACAGGATCTATCTAGATAACGAAGAATCTGAAGAATCTCGAATTCAGAAAGTGAAATCGTTAGATCGAAGAAACTAGAAGGCGATTTGACTTACCGGAGATACCAGCGGTGCAGTAGACGAGAGCGAAGATCATACCACCGAAAGCCCAAGCGATTCCTTGGATTCCGACGGAAGCACACATGTTCGGTGACCTCTTCACACCCATAACAGTCAAAACAGTGATGTACAGGAACAAAAACGTAGCGATGAACTCAGCGATTCCAGCTCTCCAGAATGACCACGAAGCAATCTCGCCGGGCTCGAACAACGGCGCAGGTGGTGGCTCCTTGTAGTCCTTGTCGCTCTGAGCAGAAGTTCCGATAGGTTGCCTCTCCGGAAACTTGTTAGCTCCGACTCTAACATCTTCTTCTTTGCCTTCCATCTCCGATTTCCTCTCTCTCTCTCTTTTTCTCTCTAGAGCTTTCTAGGTTTTTGGGTTTCTCTGTGAGTGGGTTATGTGTTGCAGAGAAGAAGAGAGAGTGGTGGTTTTTTATAGTGACAGAAACTCAATGTTGGAAGATAATGGAAATAAAATTTAAATAAAACAAGATGTCAATTAATTAGTTAACTTAATTGCATGATAGTATAATTAACGTTATCATCTTTGCTGCTACTGAATACTGATAATGCTTGTTATTGATTAATGATAATTAAAGTGTTATGGACAGAGTTTCAAATCCCGCTTTGCAGCTATTTTGTTTACTCTAATCAGATGTCGTTATTATACCCTAATAAAATAAATAAATTTTGGACATTTTTTTATAAAATCTATTCATGTATATTTCATGAATGTTCTTTTTTAAATGTAGATTATGACAGGTATAAGAAAATACAGAAAAACATACTGTATTAAAAAAGGAGTTGAATATGTGGTCGAGATGAACCGCCGGTTAAGTTGGACCGTTGTCAGGATAAGCACATGGACTCACCGCACCTAAAAGACATAGGGACACCTCATTTACCAAATTATCTATAACATTTTCTTACTATACTTTATAACATTACTAATTTTAGTTATGAGTGATAGTTTTAATTCTCCAACAATTACTTTACTTTATAGCTAGCATTACTTTCTTACTTTAGTACTCCAACAATTTTAATTGTTATGAGTAATAATAGCCAGTAAAACGAAAAAAAAAAAAAAAAAACTAGAGACGGCATCTCCAACTCTACTCTATTTCAGAATAAAAATACAAAATTCTTCTCCAACCCTACTCTATAATTGACTCTAAAATAGAGATTTCTGCAGATTGACTCTATATATAGAGCAACTCTATTTTTGAGTTCAACTTTTTTTATTTATACTTTAGTCCCTCAAATTTAAACTTTTTTTATTTAAAACATATAATCATTTTATAAACAACAATTACAACACATAGTTTTATAAACATAACAAGCAAACAAGTACTAAATTTAAAATAATTTTATAAACTTAACAAGCAAACAAGTACTAAATTTAAAATAAACAACATAAAAAAACTAAAACATAAAACTAGTAATTTAATAGTCCGGTAAATTGCTTGTAGATCCGCCAAGATAGTTAAAATATTGTCCAAATGAAGTAGATGGAAGAGGAGTTTCTTGATCTTGATCTTGTTGTTGGACACGTCGTTTTTGTAAAATCCGTGCTTGTTCACTCTCAAAATATGTCCGAACATTTGGGTTTTGAAAGGAATTCAAATCACAAAATAAAATTTTGTTTTCTCACTACGAAATGCTTTAATTGATCATATGTGGGAAAAATATTCTAATGGTGTTATTTAAAATAAAATTTGTAATGTTTTATTATTGTTATATGATGTTATGTTTTTTTTAATAAATAATTAGTGTTTAATTTAAATAATTTCATATTTTATGGGAATTTTGCAAATCTATAATATATGGGGTCAAATTGTAAATTATATAATTAAAAGGTATTAGTATATAAAATAGAAATAGAATATTTTTAAGAATATTCATTTTTAGAGTAGAAAATAGAGATATACATTGGAGAGAAACCCACCTCTAAAATAGATTTACTTTATTTTAGAGTAAGATATAGAGCTCTAGATTGGAGAGGGTCTTAATGATATCCTTCTATTAATAAAAAAAGATACGAGATTTTTCTTTGTGTTCTGTTCTTTTTGTTATAATCTTCACAATTTATCCATGAGGCTATTTTTAATTATTGAAATCAGCTAATTGATCAATCAATCATGACAGCAGAATTTTGTTTGTCTATAATGCAACTTTAATGTACCAACTACACCAAGTATAGATCAAAATAAATTGCCTACATGAAAAATCAAACACCATGCACTATGCACATACATATTCATGCATATATATACCAAGCAGTTTCACCATGAATGTGTAAAATAAATGCATGATGAATGGTGGGTTTTAATGAGATTAAAGAAGAAGATTGGATAGTGTAATATTCGGCAGCAATCCACTATTTGCCAAAAAGGAAAGACAACGTTTAAGCCAAAAGAAAAAAAAAGGACCCAACAATTATGGTTGCTTCGTTGCTTTGCTGTCTTTTTGGGTGTACCACTATGTCCTACCCACGTGCTGTTTTATTCTAGTCCCATTACCAAATTTCGTTATTTACTCTCGCTTGCCTTCTTTCATTACCTTCCAAGTTCCAAGCTATGGAGCAAATTTGATCTGACCAGACTGACCATGTACCAAATTTCCTTGGTAAAATCCCTCTTTTAACGGTGTATATTGCAGAAATTATGTTATTGCCTTTTCCGTGTCCCGAAACATGTACATGCTTGATAATGAAGTTAAATTCACATGCATGACGAAAATAACATAACATAAAAAAAAACTTCTATATTAGTTGAACCCTATATTTGTTTTGCATGAGTTTGAGTCTAGATTAATAAATCTGTCGATATTAGAATAGTCTCTTTTTTTTTATTGGCATTCACACAATCCTGAAAAGTTCATACACAACCATTCAATACCATTTTGCCATGTATTCGAAAAAACGGAATAAAGTATAATTATCTTACAATTCCACTCAACCTATGTATCTAATTTCAACTATTTGGTGTTCCATTATAGTACTATCAATAAAAAAATCAGGATTGCTGCTTTTGCAAATTCTTTGGTATTTCGTGGTTTTAAGGTTTGGCTTTTAGCATTTTCTGAAGGAAAAAAAAAGGGGGAGGTTGTAATATATTTGGACTTTGGTATGAGAGTAAAATATTCCACGATTCCAAGCCGTCCAATCCATGGATAAGAGGACACGTGGCATAAACTTACGTATACAAAAACCGACCAAGCCACCCAAACACTTGTCACCTTCAGCCAAATATTAATCATTTTTGTTTAATTTTTATTTTTCCTGAGTGCAATAATTGCATGCCCACTCCCAATATTCCCGTTGCGTTACAGTCCCCACTTCCACGTCTCCTGGATTATTTAATTTTGAAACATTTTGTTCACTTTTGTCTTTTTTTCGACAAAAGAGTTTTCTGAACAATTCACAAGTACAATACCAACAATACTAGTATGAATCAATCGTTTTAACCGTTTGAAATAAGATCATGGATAAAAAGATTAGACACCAAATTTTGGATATATCAATGAAAATTTGCATTCAAAACAAAATTTGCCAAGAAAAATTGCTCCTCTTTTAACTATGTGAAGAAATTATTCATCGTCATGTAGGATGTTTGAGTTGATTTTAAGTTCCTACAATTTAAATTCAAATTCATTTACCAAATATTTGGAAAACCAAATTTCTTAGAAACACATATATCAATAAGATTAGAGCCTTTTTATGGTTGGGCCATTTATCGCCTGTATAAAGCCCAAGACTGTACTTACAATTGGGCTGACAATTTAGTCCACAAGCGGCTCCAGCTTTTTAACAAATTCTCCTAATAAATTAAAAAATTGGTCCAACGATGAATGAACCTAAACCAAACCACCACAAGCATCACCGACTCGAACCCCTCTCGCTACTAGAACCCAACGACTCGAGCCACTAACCAACCCTAGTTTCATTTTTCACGTAACGACACCGTTTTGGATTTTAGAACTAGCCAACAGGGTTATGACACCTGGACATGATCAGTCCTCTCATTTTCTTGTTTTCCAGCTTCTCATTTGATTTTTTTTTTAAATAAAAAATTCCTAAATTTAGTCCACTTCTTATTCGCTATCCCCACATTGCTTGGCCGCAGCCGCCGCCGCCGTCCGCCGTCGATATCCACCACCAGATTTTAAATCCTCCGCCGGGAGTCCACCTTCATTACCCAATATCTGTTATAAGGTACAACGCGCTAATTCGCATAATTGACTCTCCTTGGTTCTGGTTCAAAAGAGCTTTCTCGGTGGTTACGTGTTTGCCTTTGCTTGTTTGATTTATTGTGTATTGGACAATTCGAATACCTCTCTTGTTTTGCGTTTCCTGATTTACCATTTCGTTCTATTGGATGTTAAAGGCTCAAAATTTGTTCTTGTTTGTTCGTCAGATACCGTTAAAGAGATGATTTTTTTCCCAAAAAGAGTTTTTGCTCAACCAGTTCCTTGAATTGAGAGTGTATAGTGCTTAGCTTATTGGTTTCTTGAAGACCAGCTTCTTCATTACATGTTAAGATTCAGGGTAGGCTTTCTGAGCGAGTTTCATTATCTTTTGCTGAAGTGGTTAATCTCCATTTTAATTATGTCTCTTCTTTTTCTACTTTGGTGGATGGAGTTACTAGATATTGCTTGAGATCGCCATCTGACTTCAAATCTCCTAGATCTGAGTACTTTGCTACTTGGCGTATTTATTTTATCTGGTTGGCCATTTTTGTCCTGAAAAGCTTCAGGATGTAAGGAAAACAGAGACTTTGTATAGGAGCTGAAGGTGTAATAATAAATATAATAGCAGAAGACTGCGTCATCAAATCTATTATCAATGTCAGAAGGTGATTTGGCCGTCATGAAACCAGAGGTAAACATTTCATTCCTGTCCTCTTACTAGACTACTTAAGTCAGCTACTTTACCTCTCTTAGAAAAGGACCAATAATTCATATGCCTTAACTTGTATCGTTTAAGGTTTGAATTTAGTTTTTGAAAAATGAGTTCATTTTATCCAAATCACCTTTTGATAGATGAATTTTTACAATTTAGTGTTTGACTTGTGACTAACTTTATCTTCATCTTCCCGATTCACGTGAGCTAGTTGTTAATTTTTCTACAGTTGTTTGAATTTATATGAATGACTAAATTTCTTTTCGCGGTGTCATGGATTCAGACCATGAAGTCCTACATCTGGCTTCAAACTGCTGATGGTTCAATCCAGCAAGTGGAACAAGAGGTTGCAATGTTCTGTCCCATGATATGTCAAGAGGTAATACAAAAGGGTGTTGGATCTTCTAAGAATCATGCAATATCGCTTCCACAACGAGTTAATCCAGCTATGTTCAGCTTGATTCTTGATTACTGCAGATTTCATCAACTGCCTGGACGTTCAAATAAGGTTTGTTTGAATTTTGAATAAATATTTTCATATCCATACCCCGTCTGGCCTTTTTCAATACATCTATTTTCCACGCTCTAGGAACGAAAAACTTATGATGAAAGATTCATCAGAATGGACACAAAAAGGCTCTGTGAGTTGACCTCAGCCGCTGATAGTTTGCAGCTGAAGCCTTTGGTTGATCTTACTAGTCGCGCACTTGCAAGAATCATTGAAGGAAAAACCCCTGAGGAGATACGAGAAATATTTCATTTACCTGATGACCTTACTGAGGTATGCACTGTTCAATATCATCTCTTCTTAAGATGTGTCTTCTCCATCTGCTTCGTTTTTTGACTGCTCTTTGATTATTTATCTAGGAGGAGAAATTAGAGCCTCTGAAGAACACAATGGATGATCCACGGATTCGACTACTGAATAGATTATATGCAAAGAAAAGAAAGGAGCTGAAAGAAAGAGAGAGATTGAAGGTCCGTTTAGCATTTTCTATTTTACTTGTTTAGATATTGTAATTTGTAGCTTTATAAATGAAAATTGAGGGTAACTCAGTCTGTAAGATTGAACTGTTTCATGAGCTTATGAATTTGGGGTTTACCATGTCTTAGAATGTTGAGGTTGAAGAACATGTGGATGAACGATCTGTGGATGACCTGTTATCATTTATTAACGGCAGAGGTACTTTCCTTTGACCTTACTCTGGTTTCCTAAATTCACGATATCCTTTCATTTGTTCTGTTTCTTCTTTGGCTGCTTTGAGTTCTCTCTATTTAACACTGTAGTACTGTACCACCACATTATAGTTCATCTTTGTAATCTTTTAGTGTTAATTGAGTGATGTCTATTTTTGGTGATTGACTATATTTTCCTCTTGCCCAATGCCCGAGAGAAGATACTCATCGTCTAGTGCATCTGTCAGTTTGGGCTACATATCTGCCATTTACATGAATAAATCATGATCCATCTTTGATTGAGATATTTGGTGTGTGAATTTATGTTTTTGTCGCCTCTTAGTTTTCTCCTTTCTCTATTCTACTTCCTTTTGAAGGCCTCATTGGAAGTAAGGAAAATTCTGTTTCACAGATCCCAAGGTGGTAAAGATGTCAAAAGGAAAAAAGAAGAAGAAGAAAAAAAAGGATCAGAAGATTGTTTCTTCAAATGACATTCATGACAAGGTTCAGACTAGTTTCTCTGTGTTTGTTTTCTGGTCGGTATTTACCAAGTCAATGAATGTGTTCCTTGTGCTTAGGAATCACATGATCTTCATTCCAAACAGCAATGTGTTGAAGAGACTGGGTCCAGCATGAGAGATGTACCCAATTTACCTATTGCAGAAGATGACATTTCTACGTCAAAGGCCAGGTCTGAAGATGAAGATATAGACGATGAAATCGATCCAGCCATGAGGGAATTGCTTGATAGGTAAGACCCTTGTTAAATCAAAACCAGGATATTCTTATAATGAATGATTACACATCATTCTCTAAGTCATGAATAAAGATTAGGAGCAGCTCCTTCAAAATCTTGTATCTGAGAAATGAAAGAGACTTGTTCTCATGAGTGGTGAATTAATGTTATTACAGAGAGGTAGAAGATTTTGCTCAAAGACTGAACTCCAATTGGGTTCGGTCGCTAGGACAAGAAAGAAGGCCTGTACACTTCTCCATAAATGGCAACGGGACTACAAGACGGCATACAGGTATGGTATCTATTTGGCGGCATGTATGTTTACTCTTTTCATTTATCGTAATGTTGTGTTGAACACTTGAATAAAGAAACGATTTTTAGACATACTCTAGATAACTGATGTGATGGTGTTATGGTTTGAATTTAAAGGTCAATCTCCATGACACGTTTGAAGCTGAAAATGGAACAGTTTTGGTTATGTGAGCAAATAGAGAGAGAGAGAATAGTTCACCAGTCAGTCACCACCGGCGTTTGATGCGTGTCCTCATGTAACAGTTTTGATTTTGATTGTTTTACTTTCTTCTAGTGATCCATCCTTTTCTTTGTAAAACCACGTTTAAGTAGTTGTTAGAATCTAGTTCTACGTTAGCTTTTTTTTTGTGTTTAGGTTCCATTGTTTTAGCATCAGAAATTAATCATACACACACTCTGATATCACCATTGCCAGTGTAATAAATGGTTTTAAGTTCCTTATACTAAATGATAAGAGTATAAGACCTGAGATGCTAAAGAAAAACATAACACTCAGCCTTGATCAAGATCAATTGCTTGTTTGGGAGCAGAGTAGGAAGATGATAATGCCAATTGCGATTAATTAAGCTTTTGAAAACGAATAACATATCAACTAGAGAGGAAATGGAGGAATCCAGTGAGGAACCCAATTGGGAACCACGTAACCTTGGCCATTAGGTAAATCAGAGAAAGCTGAAAAAGACTTGGGATTGAAGGAACGTGGGGTTCTAGTGGCAATATCGTAAATACCATAGCCTTCACCATAACGGTCACCGAGGAAATAAATGGAATTAGGGTTTAGGCCCGGGAAGGAGCTGGCCTTGACACAAAAAGGCTCGTTATTGCCGAGGAATATGCAGAGATCACCAATGTCTTGTGTGTAACACATGTTCATATCTTCCTCCTCTCTGAACACCATGAATAGCTTTGTGCCGCCAAAACTGAATTTTACCGACCTATGCGCAAGGCTTTGAACAGACCTGCCAAGGGTTTGAACATACCTGCCAAGCCAAGGCAAAAAGAAAGAATTTGTTCTTATAATGACAACATGCATGAAACCGCAGAAGCAACAAATTATTAGAAGAACCTCCTACCATTTGACTAGGAAACGCTGTCCTGAGGGAGACTCCACAAGTTGTTGTGTCCTGTAACAAGATCTCAAAAGCTGCAACTCGGAAAGTGAAAACAGAGGAAGGTTGTGAAAGCGTAAGTCATGGTACTGAGAGTCGGTGGATATTATACCATTCCAAGACCACAAGTGGTGGCCTCCAGAACTTGGCATGTAGAACCTTTGATCTCTCTTGGAATACATCAAGTTGGCTTGTTCAAAATAATCGAATAATTCAGTAGACGAAAAGCGGTGGTTCCCCTTACGGTGTTGACCGGGCCTATATATACTCACCCGACGTCCCGTGAACTTGACAGCCATAACGAAGTCTTCTTCTTCAGGAGAAGAGGACATTGCCACGCCACTTACCAATTCATTTTGACAAGAGTATTCATAACTTCGAGGAGGCAGAGGGATCATCTTGGGGTTTGATTTGGAGCTCGATGGATTGCAGTAGTCGCTTATTAGTATGGAATTAGGGGAGCCAAGAAAAACTCCCCAACCATGGGAACTTCCCACCAGCCTCGACGTAACCAACTCTTTGGTAAGTGGCTTATCACGGACGGTAAAATACTCTTCCTTGGCCGGGTCAAACATCCGGAGCTCTGTCATTGCACCGGCCTCTGGGGCTTCACCACAATAGGTGACACAATACATCATGTAAGGGTTGGTGGTAGTGGAGAAGGAGAACATCCGAAGGGTGTGGCATCTCTAAGGAATAACTAGTAAGAAGTGACATCAGAAGAGGAAGAAAAAAACAGAGATTATACAAAAACTAGAGTGATAAAGATTACCAGAGCAAGTTTGCGGAGAGAGGGCTTGGAAGAGAGGCTGAGAAGCAGAGACGACATTGCTTGCTCTGTGCCTTTCTCAAAACGGTTTACGAGTTAGTCAACAAGGAAAAGAAAAATCTTGAGGTCTGATATGTTAAGGTTTCTAAGATTCTTCTTTCTTTTGTCAAAAGATTCTAATAAGGAAAAACAAAGTGAAAAAGGAAATTTGGTCTTAGATCGAGTCAAGAAGGGACTTCCTTCAGAGAAAGGCACAGAGCAAGAAATGTCGTCTCTGCTTCTCAGCCTCTCTTCCAAACCCTCTCTCCGAAAACTTGCTCAGGTAAATCTATTCTCAATCTAGTTTTTGTATAATCTCTCTCGTTTTCTTCTGATGTGTCTACCTCATACTCTTCCAGAGACGCCACACCCTTCGGATGTTCTCCTCCTTTACTACCACCAACCCGTACTTGATGTATAATCTGATACATAATGGAAGTTCTTTGGATGACATCGATATAACAAGCGCTATACACTATTTTGACCCGGCCAAGGAAGATGAAGTTATTGTCCGAGACAGGGCCTTTCCCATGGAGTTGCGTAATACGAGTCTGGTTGGAATGTCCCATGGATGGGGAGTTTTCAATGTGGAGACTGGTGATGGTAGACATAAAGCCGTTTATGTTAGCGACTTCTGCAATCCTTGTGGCTCCAAAACAAATCCCAAAATCATTCCTTTGCATCCCATGCATCCCATTGGTAAACCTAATATTACCCAATTACGCCTCATCACTAATGCTGCAATGACTTGTTCACCTGATCAAAGTAAAGATTTTGTAGTAGCTGCCAATTGTTTAGGACTTGAGATCCATTTCTTTAGGCCTTGTGGCAAAACCAAGAACTACTCTGGTTTAGGCTTTAAAACCGAATCCCACTATTTTGATCAGTCAAAGGTTATGTATTCAAAGAAAGATCAAAAGTTCTACACTCCTAGTGTTGGAGGCCACTTGTTGGGTTTCTGGGATTCTTGCTTCGAGGATTTGACTGCCTCCAAGATGCATGAGTTGCGGTTTTGCAACCTTCCTGAGGTGACCCAGTCCGAGTGGGAGCTCTTGGACTCATGTCCTCCGCCGACTGTACACCTTGTGGAGTCTCCCTCAGGACAGCGTTTCCTAATCAAGTGGTATGCTCAGAACTACCAACCGGGCGAGAGGATGACATTCTTGTGTCGTGGAACAAAGCATTTCATGGTGTTTAGAGAGGAGGAAGATATGAACATGTGTTACACGGAGGACATTGGAGATCTCTGCATATTCCTCGGCAGAAGTGAGCCCTTCTGTGTCAAGGCAAGCTCATTCCCTGGCCTAAATCCTAACTCCATCTATTTTGCAGGCGATGGCTTTGGTGTTTACGATATCGCCAGTAGAAAACCACGTTCCTTCTGTCCCAAGTCTCCCTCAGCCTTCTCAACAACACCACTCTTCCCTTACTGGATCCCTCCAATGTCTCTCTAGTTACTAGGCAAACTTCACTAGTTATTCTCTTCTTGTGAGTGTCATTCGAGTTAAATCATGAGTCATAATTACGTTATTTTCATAATATGATCGAATTTGAGTATTTTAGGTGGTGGATCCAATATAGAATCCAGTTTCTCGTTTCACTTTGTGTTATGTAAACTCAAAAGAAACTAATGAAGACATGTTCCATTGTTTTAGCATCACAACTCACAAGCCACACACTGAAACAAGACGAGAAAAGAAGAAGCCAGAAGCAGCTACCTCTCAGACACAAAGGATTCTTATTACATACATAATGCATTTCCTTGTATATACAACTATTTCAGCTCTCTAAGACGTTTAAATTGGCGAGTCACTCACAATTTTCATGGTTTTGAATTGTGAGCTTCTTCCATAGCTTAATGGAGTTGATTAGGAAGTTCATCATTCCGCTGCACTGATGAAACAAGCACAGTAGGCAACTCCATCAACCAGATGAAATGAAAATATAGAATCTGCAGGGCCTTTGTATTTTCTACTCAGAATTGCAACACATACCGGGAAAACGTAAGAAGATGAGTCATTCTGTTCCTCTTGAGCTAGGCTTAGTGATGTTGCAGGCTGTGATAATGTATCAGCAGACTGACAAGAGCTGGTATCCAAGGAAGGTGCCCTCTCGTTTTCTACATTCAAACTTTGAATCGGATCGGTGCTTGTTTGTGGCAATACAAGCCGCTGAAACTCAGACAAGAGCGCAGAGAGAGCTCGAATTTCATCCATTCTTGCTTCCCTACATTGATCAGGAAAAATCAGCAATAAGCAGCATCCAGCAATTCTGCATCTCTTTCTGAAAAAAGAAACCAAAACCTTGTATGGATAAGGTTTCCTTTGCAAGTGAACTGTATTTGACAAGTAGCAGACGCTTGTTTGCAGACAAATTTTGCTTTCCTAGACTTAAGATCCTCCATTTTCCTGCAAAAAGTTAACAAGACGGGCTTAGCGAGCAAACAGGAGATTCAAAAAGATGGTCATGCCTAATCTCAAAGAGCCAATGCGATACATGGAATAGTGTTTATCTGCAGCTGCTCCCATAACAAACTTCCTGATCCTATGCTGATGTATCATTTCCACAATCCCTTTCTCAACTGAGTCCATTTCAAAACACAGTATCTCTGCCTGTACCTACAGAAACCAACCTTCTTTCTTTAAAAAATGGTGAAAACAGAGTTGACATTAATATCATCTGTGTTCACATCACATCACATACATACCCCTTTTCTCAGACATATACTAAGGTACTCTTGTAGAATCTTGTCTGTTTTGGCTGTTTCTATGCCTCTATACGCTCTCACTGATACATCATCTGCCGTCGAAGCTTCGAATTTGGTACCCACTTTGCATCAAAAGTGAGAAGAGTAAAGTCAAAACCTTTAAAGCCTGCGTGATCTAACGAGAGACTCTTGGAAAGGCAAAACACTTACACACAGGAATCATTGGAGATGGCTGGTGAATATGAAGGATGCAGATTTTGTTTCCCTCGGAGTTTTGTAACGCCCAGAGGAGATTTGATGTGTTCTTCGATACATTTCTCCCAACTGCGACGTAGATTTTCTCTTCGAGAATCCGTGAACTGACTGTTTCCTCCATAGCCTGAGAACTAAGAATTTTCTCTGGAAAACGAAGAGGCAGGATTTTGGAAGAGAGCCGTTTCTTGCATCAGCATTTGCTGGTTTACTTGGACAAGAAGACATCCAATGGCTGCACATCTCACCATTCTGGTATCTCTGTTCCTTCGAATATTCCATCAATCTATACATATTTTTTATATATATTGAAAAAGACTTGATTGATGGTTTCGTTTGCCATAATAATAAGAATATGAAAATAAAAGTCAAGAAATAAATCCTGAGAAACAATGTTAGAAATTGGGATATACTAGTGTTATTGGAGATGATATCTATACAAATTTTATTTCGTTAATTAGCTGTTTTCAACGTAATGCATATGGTCAGATTGTATTAATAAGAAAATAAATAAAACATGGAGAAAAAATAATCAAGAAACGGTCTTTCAAATTACATCGGTTTAATATACATTACAAGCAGAGACGAGTCCGTTGAAGCAAATGCTTAAGAATATATTTTAGTGTGATTTTATTTCTATTCACTTTCTGGAAGAGGATGAAGCGTGAAGCCATTCCTGGATTGCAGATCGAAGAGCAAGATTTGGAACTAACTTTGTATGAAGAAGCTTCTTGTTTGTCATTGGGGAAGTCTCATGTCCTCTCTGAAGCCATGTGCTTATGGCTTCTGCTTCATATGTAAATCCATCTGCTGCTAGTTGTGGATCCTTCATCACTTCCTGCAACATTGAAAACAAAGGTTTTAATTTTGTGAACTGATTCGATACAATCTTCGGTTTCTCTCCATATTGACTTTTTCTTTATTTACCAGTGAAATGGGACAGATGAAGTACTGAGGAGCTTCACGGTGCTCATCAGATCGAGAGACCTTCTCATGGATTTTTCTTAGCTCCTCTACTTCTATAATTGCTATGTCGCGTCCTTTTATCAATCTATCTCGTTCTTCCTTTGCTTTTCTCAACACTTTCGTTGCCAAGTTATACTTATCTTGCAGCTTTTGTACCAGCATATAAGACTCGGTTATTCGGTTCTCAGATATATACCTCATATTTTCGAGTTTTTCTCTCACTTTCTTCAGCTCCATCTCTGTTTCTTTCCTTTGTTTCAACTCCTCGAAATAGGCATTTTCCCATTCTTTAGCCTACATTTGGTCAGAAAACTTCGTAAGCATCGGGAAAAAACAACATTCCCAATGGGCAATTGCAATAGGTACAAGTTACCCTTTTGATTGCTTCATTTTTCTCTTTTTCAACTTCTTGATGCTTGAAAGCCTCCAAGCTTGCTTCTTTTTTCGATTTCTCAGCTTCAAAGACAGCTAATTGATACACATTTCCATTTCCTCTAGATATCGTGTATTGGCCCGAAGGTATAACAGATCCTCGTGAACGGACTGAATCTTGATCAGAACTTGTAGATGCATACTCTAGAGAGGTGTTACCCGTGATAGCTTCCCTGCGTTATACCATCACCAGATATATTAGAGCTTGTGACATGTGATTGTTCTCACAATCCCAGTTCCTGTTAAAACTCACAAGAGTCTGACAAAATACAAAGATCATTCAAAAAACTGTCTGAAGTAGTATTTACGGTTGTACAGAGATTAAAGGGACTCGGGATAGACCTTTTATATACCAGGTATCCTTTGCAAGTAAACCATATACAACAAGTAGCAGGAACTTGTTGACGAATGTAAATGGCTTTCGTGGACAACAGATCTGCCATCCTCCTGCAAATTAAGATTAATGATGAATCCATTGGTGAAATAACAAGAACCATCCATGAGAAGATGAAAATCCAAAGATAGTTAGTTATGCCGGTGTGCTTTGTACATTGAATAGTGTCTGTCTGATGCAGCTCCCATGACGAGCTTCTTAACGTGGCGCTCTGATATCAATTGGATGATACCTTCCTCTACCGAGTCCATTTCGATGTGTATCGTCTCAGCACAAACCTAGGATATCACAATCGGCTCTCTTTATCTCTTGTATCATCAAACAAATGAATAATATCACTTAATAGCAAGAGAAGTAACAAAAACATACCTGCATTTGCCTGCATGTTTGTAGGTACTTGTCCAGGATCTTTTGTGCCTTTTCCTTGTCTTTTCTGTAGAGCGGCTGGTGAACATGGACGATACAGAACTCCTTACCTCCAGTGTTCTGTATCGCCCAAACTAGAGTGGACTTGTTCCCCAAGTCACTCCCCACTGCAACATATATCTTCTCATCCATTAGCAGCTGCAGCGAACCTGGTTTGCCCATCATCTCTCTCTATCACCCTCTTGATTGGCCTAGATTCAGCGTTTAACGCTGCATCGAAGCCTCATGAAGCCAACACTTTTCCCCTTTGCTTGGATCGAAGCTCCTTTCTCCAACACACTCCATATGAGACACTCAAAACATTCCTCTAATTCACTCAAGAGAATGAACAAGAACAAACATAAATTTTTTGCAATACAAGAAAAGAGATGATTGATTTAACAGAGGGAGCAATCAACAAACAAGAACATTTTCTTATGTTATAACATGCATACGAAGTCAACCACGGTAACAATGACGAAACTTGGCCTTAACGCAGAAGCTCAATCATGTATTAAAATAATGAAGGCTTTTTGACTTTCAACGAGCCAAACCAGGAATCAAAAGCGACAGTATCTGTGTATGAAGAGAAATGTCGACATATTGACACAAATACACGAATTTCACAAGACTTTTGAGAAAATACTGAAGAATACTCTCAGCATTTTCCAGGTTGGTGTCTTTCAATGCTGCGTTAGGTTGCTTACCTCAGTGCAATCCTGAGTTTTTATACAGTTATGCCACTAGCCGCCAAAACGACCTGACCTCACTGCTAATTAAGATAGATTAATCACAAGAATTTTAAGAGTTTATTGAAAACCACTATATGAGCAATCAAAGGTAACTTCTTCCAGGAGGAAAACAAGTCTTACACGATAGTCTTGACTTAATAATTTAAGACTCATCCTAATTTTAGCTAAGCAAAGGCATCATCAGTGAGATAGAAGTATAACCTTGAGGCTAATCTTTGTTCTAAAGAGAGCCGAACATAATGGAGGAACAAAATAGGGGAGAACATATATATATATATATATATATATATATATATACACACACACACACATACAATCTCACCAGCTTCTTCTTTTCATATCTGACAAATATGGAGGACTTACACTATGCTTGACAAAGTAAACAAATATGCTTGCTATCCATGGAGAGATCGTATGTATACGTATAAGGAAGATTGAAAAAACTAAACTCACTCACTCACTTACTCTCTGTTGCCTCCCGCAGAAAAGGCAAAAACTTTTTTTCATAAGAGAACGAACAGGGATTGAGGGTTCGAAGGATTTTATTTTCACAAATGATGTTGAAGCCACTCTTGAATAGCAGAACGAAGAGCATGGTTGGCGATTAGGCTGGTGTGAGAAAGCTTGACATTGGTCATTGGTGAAGTATCGTGTTCACTGTCCAGCCACGCTCTTATAGCCTCTGCTTCGTATGTGAAACCGTCTGCAGCCACGTGTGGATCCTGCATGACTTCCTGAAAATTTTGAAAAAAAAACAGAGGAAGAACAGGTTTAGTACCATTAGACTGCAAGATAACGGTTTGAGACCTCAAACAAGCAAATTTTAATGACTTTGTGATCGAAGTCTTCTCAGATTTATAATAATATTGGAAATCAATACCCAAAAATACAGATTATTTACCTGGAAAATGGGGCAAATGAAGTATGGAGGGGCTATGCGGTGCTCATTACGGCCGAGATGGAAAGATGAAGATCCTCCACTAGAAGCCCTCATAGGTTCAAGTACCCTCCACACTTCAGTTCCAAGATCTGGACGATTCTCGCTGACAGTCTCGCAGCATCTCAATGCCAAGCGAGCAAGCTGCTCAGCCTGAACAAAGGGCCAGTCCCCTGCTAAAGGGTCCAAGAGGTCGTTCAATGTTCCATTATCGAGGGCATACTTCACTTCGTTTGATATCCGTAAGGCTGGTCTCCCGGTCAACAAGCGCAATAAGATAATCCCAAACGAGTACACATCTGACTTCGGAGTTAGCTCTCCACTACTGGAAGCTTCTGGATCCAAATAGGCAACTGTGCCCGTGACATCAGTTCTCACACTTTTGCTTCCACTAGGATGAAGTAGTGAGCAGGTTCCAAAGTCACTTAACTTGCTAACGAGATTGGAATCGAGAAGGATATTTGCTGGCTTCAAATCACCATGTACTAAGCTATGAGCTTTATTGGAATGAAGAAAGACTAGTGCTGCGCATATCTCAGTGGCAATGCGTACACGATTTTGCCACGACAAGGGTGGAGAGTTCTCCTTGCAATTAAGCCTGTCTTCAAGGCTTCCATCTGGAAGATATTCATAGACAAGACTCCACCCCTCTGGACATGCTCCAATTAGCGTAATTATATTTGGATGCCTCATTTTACTTAGCACATCAACCTGCAATACAGCAAGAATAAGTCAAAACTCCTCCACAGTGAACATTATAAAATTAAAACTTCAGCAGGACTGTGTTTCAAAGTCCCCTTTTTCGTAGAGGCAGCAATTTGTGCACAGCAAACCAGTAAAAAATGATGATGAAACGAAACAACAAATTTCGTTTGAACAAATCTTAGTTTCATTAATAATATGTCAAGAAATTACCTCCTGTTGATATTCTACAGGGCCTTGCGAACTGTTAGGATTCAACATTTTTATAGCCACCTGAGTATGACGCAGTAAACCAATGTAGATGCTTCCATATCCACCTTCCCCAATCTTCAGGGTCGAATCAAAGTGATTAGTTGCTTCCTCAATCTCGGAGAATGAGAAATCCGTGAAGTACTGAGGTAACTGTAGGGTTGAGGTTTCTGCTCGACTCCTTAACTCCTCAGCTTCTCTGAGTGCCCTGTCACGTTCTGTCTGCAACTCCTCTCGTTCATCCCTCAACTTTTGCAGCAACTTCACAGCTATATCAAGCTTCTGGTTTAGCTTTTCCATTGTACCATCGGATTCTGCTATTTGGCTCTCAAGCATCGCTTTCTTATCCATAGCACTTTGAAGTTCTTCCATGATTACCTCTTGCTCGTTTTTTATTGTTACAAATCTCTCTTTCTCTTTCGCTACTGCTATCTCCATATCTTTCCTTCGCTTCAACTCCTCAGAATATGCACTTTCTGATTGTTTAGCCTATAGTAATTAGCAGTAATATCAGAATACTATTATATTTTAGCTGTTATAGTGTTATTGGTGTAACTAGAAGCACCTCTATTAAGCCTAGTAATCTTTCCAAGTGATACACTAGCAAACATGATGGTCCAGTATAATATCTCCAGCTAGAATATCTAGCAATCGTTTCCAAAAAAGTTTAACAGTGCCAACTAAATTATTTTTTGTAAGGAAACTCACCCTTCTGATTGCATCAAGTGCGTTTTTTTCGGCTTTTTGTCGCCTAAGAGTCTCTGCAAAAGCTTCTTGTTTTGAACTGTGAGCCTCTGACGTGGCTTTTCGAATTTTATCGTTGAATGAATCATCCACCCCATCCTGCAATGATGGACAAGTTCCTGGACAGCTGAGAATACACGGTATATGAAAATCAAAATGCATTGCTTTTTCCATTAGGAACGACATGGCATACCGGAAAATTGGAGGGAGATGAATGGCCAGAACTCATAACTGTTGCACTTCCCGTTACTTCACTGCCACCAGATTCTCTCTCCTCTTCATCAGTATTTAAAGACCCATCCGACACCCTCCCGCTGTGTTCAGTTGAACTTCCATTGCTTACTAATTGTTGAACTGAATCGGTGCTCTGTACTCGAGATATATGCTGATGTTCAGACTCCGGTGTAGAGAAAGTTTGAAGTAGATCACTTGCACTTATGGAAGGACGCGGAGATGCATATTCTGATTCAGTGTCGTCCATCGTAGCTTCCCTGCAATCATGGTACAATAAATATTACTACTAAGAAGCCACAGATGCGTCATTTTCAATGCCAATGCAGCTCTCGGGAAGCTTAAAGACTGTTACAGTAATAATTATGCATGGCTGAATCGTACAAGTCATTTTGAAATCCAAGGATTCGGTTAGGATGAGAAAAAGAATTGGCCAAACCTTGTATGTATCAAGTATCCTTTGCAAGTAAACCATATTTGACAAAGACTAGGTGCTTCTCGGCGTACAAAGATGGCTTTCCTGGACTTCAGATCCGTCATTCTCCTGAAAGTCGAAGTATTGATAGAGCAAGCAAAACATTAAAATATTTAAGAGAGAGACAGCACACAGCTCTAAAGGAGTTGATTCCCATAAGCATACCTTGAATAGTGTCTATCTGCTGCTGCTCCCATGACAAGCTTCCTGATTCCCAGCTCCGAGATCAGCTGCACAATTCCATTCTCGATGGACTCCATTTCAATAAACATCTTTTCTGCCCTGACCTACAATCATAATGGACACCATTAGTCACTAGCAGCGACCTAATAAGGCCGCTATCATGGTAGTGGTAGCCAATGAAGTAAAACAAGTATCCCTATAAAGGGCATAACATCACCACTATAAAGGAAAACAAATGGAGCCATACCCCTCTCTGCTGGCATATACGAAGGTAGTCGTCTAAGATCATATGCACTTTCTCCCTTTCTTTTTCCCTGAAAGCCCTGACTTCTTCCTCCTTGACAGCACCAACTGGAAATTTGGCGCCCACTAGGATGAATCAATGAGGAAAACACATTAAGAGACTAAAATTAGGCTTTAATGGGGAAAAACACACACAAACTAAGGAGGTCTTACTAAGTGGAATCATTTGGGAGGGCTGATGAACATGAATAAGGCAAATCTTCTTGCCGCCAGTGTTTTGCAAAGCCCAAATGAGTGTAGACTTGCTCTTGGCCACGTGCTTATCCACAGCAACGAAGATTTTCTCGTCAATCAGGCGCGAAACAGGTTCGTCCATAATCCCGCTCCTACTAGACCTTGATCCTGGGCTACCAATTCCGTGAAATCTCATGGATCCAGCTCTTTCACCCATTGCTGGAATTGGAGTCACCAAAGCCATTGCTCCAATACCAAATCCGAAAAACCAGATCGTTTGATTCCTAAAACCACACAACAACCAAACAAATTTAGAATATTCAGCAGATCACATTCACTCTGGAGCGAGTAAAAAAAATAGCTGTTTCAAAATCCAAAAGGGAAAGTTCTAACCAAACCAGACTCACAATTTGACTAGAAACACTCGAATCGTAGTGAAACCCTAGAGTCTAAGGATACGGAAGAAGAAGAAGAAGAAGAAAGAGTTTGATATCAATTTCGAAACGTATTGACCAAATAAAACGACTCTTGGTCAGACCAACCAAAACTCACGGCAAGAAACTCAGAGATAAGAGGGAAAGAGAATTAAAATTGAGAAAGAAAAAAAAGCGACTCTGCATATAATATTTGTTCTTAACATACCAAAACGAAGCTTCTTGGGGATTTGTGTGCTTTGATGCTCAAATCTGACGTGGTCGAGAAGATGATGATGAAGAAAAGAGGTTTATTTATCTGCTGTGGACACACACACAGTAGACCTTTATATACTATGATTGTCCACCTTAACCGATTGATGACACGTGTACCTGATGATGAGATGAGATTTGGTACACCAACTCGCTGTCTTCTTATTCTTTTTTTTGTTCCCGCCGGAGTACCTTTTTTCCATTCCAGTCAGTAGAGAAAATTATTTATTTTTTGATAACATAAAAAATCTATTTGCATTTGATCAAATGCATGCAATCTATTTTCCAGACTACAGAAGCGCTAGTATCATGCAATATATCAATATTCATCATGCTACACATATATGTTAATTTTAAGGTGCTGGTCACTTTTTAATTAAGTGTGACATTTAGCTAGATTTATGAAAAGTTAAACGAATCTTAAATTATATCATCAAGTGAGAGAGGAACAAGTGCACTATATATGCTGCTATACATAGATGACAACGTATATGAAAAGTATTAAGTGCATCATCATTATGTGTCTATCAAACTAAACGCGTCAGTTTCCAAATGACGTACGTGTAGTAGAAATACTTGATGCATCAAACCTAATACACATGGTTTATGCAAATTAAAACCAACAGTTGAATGACTTTATATATCACCAGATATGTTTTGAGGATCTGGTATCGGATTACTAGTACTTTCTAATATATCACTCTAATCAATGATTGTTAAACATAGATCGTTATACGTTATTTTGCTAATTTTGTTAGCTGGCGTTCAAGAAATATGTTATTTTGTCCTGAAAATAGATGAGAAAAAGTCTTCTAAAAACAGTTAGTGTAGATTTAAGCATATTTTCAACTTCTTTTTTTCTGATAAATTAAAAACTAGTTGAATTCTTTATGTGGCGTGTGTGGTTGTACCATGTTATATAATGTAAATTAATAGGCATATTCCCCGAAATGCTTATTCCCTTGTCATTTTCATTCGAATTATATATATGTTTCCCGGGTCGAAATAGAATTCTATTTCTTATTGAATATTACGTTAATGTGTAATTGACAGGTTTTAAAATTAAAGAAAAGGTTGTCTCAGGATATGAAGACAGGCGAAGCACATCCACAATTTCACTAGTTTCTTAACTAACCAAGTTATATCATTGAGTTTTTAATTTTTCATCGTAATCGTGGAATATTTCAACTAAGGATATACGATTTGGGGATGTAGCATCTCTTTATTCATTCGCCAAATTTTTCACCGTAAACTGCAATTCGAATTGTTTGTGCACGTTTCCGTTAGGCCAATAACGGTAATTGGATATGACTAGTCTTCACGATAACCAGAATTAACATATACTCATTTCTTTCATAAAAACTGTCACTTTGACATTTTTCACACAAATTAAGAAAAATAAACATATTTTATTTTTATTTTTTTATTAATACACTAATTAAGATCATCTCTTTAATTAATAAGTTGAAATAATGATTAAAAAAAAAACAGAGATTTGATCTTAAAAACTGCATTGAAAATTTAAAACAATATTCTTTGTGAAACAAAATTAAAACTTTAAAACAATACTCTTTGTAAAACGGAAGAAGTATTGTTCCTTATTCATGTACTTTATAGGATTTTCATATGATTATAAATGAATTATTTTTGTGATTTTCAAGTTATATAACTCTAAACTAATAGTATTCAATTATTTTTCTTAAAGTTTATAATTCAAATAATAACTAAAAAATATTGCATAGAAAACTTAAAATATCTATCTTTTTGAAACAAAAAAAATCCTAGAAAATACAATGATAAAGAACATTTTGAAAAAAAAAATCTAGAAAATTCAATAATAAAGAACTGAGGGAGTACTTATTAAAAAAAGAAATCATATCCTTTTAACAGAGATAAATACCTCCTTAAATGGGCACGTCAGAATCCAAAGTTTTGCTTTTCAAAAGTCTGGATCCAAACTCAAAGGTTTGCTTTCAATAGTCTGGATTCTGGAATGTTTTAAGGACTTATCAACATTTCCAAATTGCAGGCTTTGTAGCACACAAAATATACGACAGAATCACCCATACTTGATACTCCATTGTTCCTCGTTACACAAGCATTTTTGGCTTTTAGTTTCTTTTCTTTTTTGAGATTACGTTTTTAATTACATTAATGCTTTCTTTTATGTGATGTGATTTTCTTAGTTAGCATTATTTAAGTGTTCGATTTGTCTAAAATTAATTATGGAATATATATATATATATAATTATATATACACTATATATATATATATTTTTTGCTGAGTTTATATAAAATATTTACTTTGGCGCCTAGAACAAAATGTATACACACTTATTTTGGTGTCTATAATTACTTTTGTATTAGTGATATTGTTGAGACATCGTCCAAGTTCAAATCCGTATAATGCAAATTGCTTGGAAAAACACATGTGTATTAACTAGTTGTTTATATTAAGCTGTTTCATGCATCACCATATAATTAATCTGATGTTACAACTTACAACTAGCTAATTGACATAAATTTTGATAGTTTCATAAGGGAATTTATTTGATACAAAATTTGGATCAGTCATATTATGCTTCTTTTTTTTTTTTTTTTGAAAACGCAGTCATATTATGCTTCATGTTTAAGTTTTAACAGAGAGTCTTCATGCAGATGAGCATTATTTTAACGATATCACCGTCTTTCCATGATGATTATATGTTACCAAAACCCTTAACTAAAATGATTGTGGTGACTAGATAGAGTTATAATATGGCAACCGCGGGCATGCTTATTTTATAAGATTACACTAAAAATCTATATTTCTGTTAGGTAGAACATAATGAAAGAATTCTATATAAACAAAAAGTCAAAAACAAATCATGCAGTTAATTACACATGACGCTACCATATACTTTTGTTAGCTTCCTAATCTTTTAAATTCCAGTTTAAGTAATAACAAGTCTTAGTTCGGCGATGGTACCTAAGAACGAACAAGAACAACGAAACATTGCTTGCACATAACATTCGGGTCTGATCGAAACGAATAGGGTCGGGTTCCGAATGCTGAAAGCGATGCACAAAATAGCCCATCAAATTTCCACATGCGAATTAGGACAAGATAGACGAAAAAGGCAGTGACCTGTGAGAGAAGAATCCTAAGAAACTATATATATGCTTCGTATTCTCCACTATGTCGTCGTTTCGTCTGTTATTATGTGCTGAGTAAAAATACAAGAGACGTTGTCGGTTTCTTAATTTTGTTTTTGATGCGAAGTTGCGAACATTTGTTAATTGCTTTTGTCGTTTGTCTTGGCACTGACTACTAAAGAAAAAAATTATCTGCTTTCTAATTAGGGGATTTTCTTTACGGCTACTTAAAGGTATTTTAATCTCTTTCAGCCGAATTTTTGAATATTAAGAAATATATATGATGATGTAAATTTGGAACGGATCAAAACTAATAATTATAATCCCAAATGAAATTAGCATTCTAGCTAGAGTGACGAGGTTGTACCTTTTCAATTTATTGTCACTAATAAATGGACATCATGACTACTAAATTGGTGCATGCTACACGGCACACGCATAACGACGAAATATAAAACAATTTAGCTGCATATATATAACATGTTGAAGAAAAATTTATGTATATGGATGGATACACGTATCCAAATTCGCCAAGGTTACACAATAGCTAGGTGTGGTCCAAAAAAAAGGATCAACATCGATCGATGTTGTATATTATGTGCTGATTCTACATAAATAGCAAATGTCCAAATTAAATAGTCATAAATGGAATTCGCCAATTGTGAACAACTCTTTTGGCAATATTCTTCTTATTATTAGTTGTTAGCAAATGATTCATCAACCATATCTAAGTCTAAGACAAAATTTTAAACCGGATTATACAAAATAGTTATAATACGGTGAAAGTAGTAATGAGAACCATTAAAAACCACATGATCTCTTCTTTCTTATTCTTTTTGGAATATATTACGACCAAATCGTTTTGTGATTCTATATGTTCTTACCAAATACAAGATCCATAATTACGATTTATAACCTTTTTTGACCAAAGAAAAAGAATCCACTATTCTACCATACATTATGACAATCTTGTTTCATTTATCACGATCGTGCTCTTGACATTTATTACAGATTGAAGTGTATTTATTAAACTATAGTTTTATTGGGACTTAACACTGACATTATATAAATAACGGTGAGTCAGACCCAAAATAAATAAATAACGAAATTGACGAGTTTGCCCTCCCCGACACACTTGTCACCGTACGGTACTCACTCGGACTCCGGAGGACCATTACCTACCGACTCCAAGACTATTCCCCTTTTTTTTTTTTTCCTCCTCCAAGACTATTCCCCATATCATTCATTTATTGCATATGTATAAAATTTTATTTACAGTCACAAACATTTATGTAGAATGTACTACTATAATAATGTGTATCCATATTTTAAAAAAAAGGAGGAGTATTAGATATATCATCGTCATTTTACAAGTTTATAATTCAGTTTTAATTAAGAAAATAGTAGTATGATTCTAGTATGATAATTTCTCTTTTTTTGTTCTATGTGGGAAATGAACAAGACAGAAAAAGCTATTGGCTTTTTATCGTTTTCTTCTATTAATATATGATTATATTATACGTAAAACATGAAACTTGATCGGATTTTGTCGGTTCTAATGTAAAACTCTTGTAACTTGATGCCAAATGTCCATTTTTTTTTAATCAAGTACTGTGTTTTCTTTATATCTCTGGCCTCTGGGTGTTTTTTTAATTGAGTATAATTCTGGTGAGAAAAGTGGGTCTACTAAATGACACATTTTGCTAAACATCTACCCTCGTGCTTCGAGCTTCGTCACCTCTCGTGATTTTTATTATATTAATAAGCGAAGAAAGCCGCATTTCATGCGAAAATCTGGAAATAAAACAACTTTTTAAGGTTTTCTTAACAATGGAGGCTGAACTCTGAGTGATCAGTAAAGTATTATCAGTGTTTTCTTCTTTTCCTTTTTTTTTTTTCATATGCATATCACTAAATTTTCTTGTTCTTGCAAGCATTGGATCAGATTCTAAAGGTAACAAATATTTATGCTTTCTCTTCTTCTTTTTTTTTGTGTGGGGAGCAACAATGCATGAATAATATATTCTTTGATTGTAATCATATTTTTGGTATCTGTCTTTATAATTTACTCTTTTGTAGATTTTGCTCAAGAGGAGTAAACAGAGAGAGTAGAAGAAGAGCATTGAGGATTTTAAATGGAGAAAGAGATTTGTAGAAGACATCTTTCAAGAGAAGGGATAGGATGTGTTTGGGTGTTTATGAGCATGTTTGATTTCAGACATGGTGGATCTAACCAGAAGCTTTTGATGGATAAGAAACGTGGAAGCAAACGAATCATAGGTTTTTTTTTTTTTATGTTCTTCTTTCTTTTGAGTCATGAAAATGTGTCTGAAACAAAAAAAGATTCTCACTTTGTTGGTTTGATGAACAATGCAGGTAATAATGGAATGTTTGACACTAAGGTTGAGAAGCAGCTTACTTGTGACTGTGACTATGACTGTGAGGTCTTTGTTAAGTTTTTGTTGGATTTGAGAATCAAACTTGCTTTTGTTGTGTAAAATGGTTTTGTGAGGATTCAAAAACTGATGTAGATTGTTTAGTGTTTTTGTCTCAGGAGAGTGAAGCTGATATGCAGAGTGTCAAGAAACTCATAGAAGATGAGATTGATGAGAAGACTAAGCAAAAGTGTGAGGCGAGAAACCGAAAGAGGAGAAGTAGGACCTGCAGCAAAATCAGTGAGGATATCAATGTTTTGATTGTTGGTGATGATGATGATCATGCAGAGAAAGCAGATGATCAGTGTCCGAGAATTTCACAGAACGAGGTGGATTTGGTACCTGATGATTCCGAAGAGAAGTTCAGCGAGTTGATAAAGCGGTTGATTAGCTCATAAGGATAGCGAGGTAGGGAGCTGCAAGAAGAACCTGGACGATGCATTTCAGGTCTTGGATTCTAAAGAAGAATCATTCTTGAATATCGGTACGCCAATTTCAAGAGATTCTCAGAGAATCAATGAGCTGACACAATGTAGACATACAATTGTAATTTTGAAGCCTGAACCAAATAGCTTGGATGTTGGATCATCACCTGGAACACCTTCTACAGACAACAAGACCAAAAATGGGAGGTTCAGTTCTCGCTTTATTCTCAGTAGAATCAGAAGAAGACTAAAGTTTGCTGTTGGAAAGAATCCATGCAATGCTCAACATGACTCTGATCCTGATCCAGATGCATTGTCGTCTAACATGAGTCAAAACTGTTGTTTGGGAGAAGCGATAGAGACTAATCCCGGGAAGGGTGTTTCGGATGGAGAAACATTGCCTGACATTGCTTCAAAACGTGAGGCTAATAAGGAGGACACTATCCATGAAAGTGAAGACTCGAAAAAGAATATGTGTGGTATATACATTGCTGCCAAGAAACACCTGTCTGAAATGCTTGCAGAAGGAGACGATGCTGATTCACCGGATAAGGAAGTACCAAGAATTCTTGGGAAGATTCTTTCTCCCCCTGAGTTCTCCACACCAGACAACAGTCCTAGAGTGAACTTGGCACTTGATCATCAGCTAATCGATAAACCAAAGATTCAGCAGTGCAGTTCAGAAGGTTACTACTATGAAGAAACAGAGTTTATGCCAGTTCCAGAAGGTGATGAATGTTCTCCTTTTCATTTGATCTGATTCTTTCTCAGCCTTGTAAATAAACTAACTGCTTTTGATTTGTAACCTGCTCATTTCAGACACTGGGATGGAAGAGGAAGAGAAGACTGTTTTGGATTCGTTGTCTGAAGTAATTAGCTCTTCCATTATCCAACAAGATGCATATGTTGATGAGGATGAGCAGAAGCAACTCTTGGAAAAGGTTTGATGAATCCTTGTGTCCATGATACATTTTTCTTGAAGGAAGGCTCATATTTCCTGCTTTATCATGTTTTCAGGAAGTAGTCGACGAAGGGCGATTACCGTGTTCTCCACCAAACTCTTCAGTGAGAATGTCTGAATGCCAAGAAAATACCACAGATGTATTGGGAAAGTCAAGTCCTGTGTCGGTTCTTGAGCCTCTCTTTACCGATGATGACACTAGTCCAAACAGCTCCAGGTTCTCTTCAGGTATGGCTAGAAAGAATTTTGGAACACCAATTCAGTATTCTAGTAAAACTTTTCATCAAAGCTCAGTCTCTGACCTTTTTCATTGGCTCATTTAGCCGAAGTGCGGATGCAACCACTGTGCATAAGATTCGACGAAGCTGATTCTCCAAGACCGGAGAAAGACAATGATGCCAAAACTAGAATGGATGACAAGGAATTGGCACTTGAATACATTCAAGCCGTGGTGAAATCCTCAGAGTTGAACTGGGAAGAGCTTTTGGCGAGATCTTTTTATTCGGAGAAGATTCTTGAGCAGGCTCTAATGGATGACATAGATTTCTGTTCGACAAATCTATGCAGCGATAAGAAACTCCTTTTTGACTGTATCAATGAAGTTCTTATGGAGTTTTGTGGACATGGCCCTTGGATTTCATTCGTCAAACCTTCAATACGGTTTTTTCCAGACATGGAAAATGCTGTTGAAGTGGTACAAGAAGAAGTTTACTGGCATCTCTTACCTTTGCCTTCTCCTCACACACTAGACCAGATAGTGCAGAAAGACCTGGCTAGGACTGGAAACTGGATGGACCTCCGCTTTGATATTGGTTGCATCGGTTCTGAAACAGGTGAAATAATCCTTGATGAACTATTAGAAGAGATAATCAGCAACTGCACAGACTTGGTCCAACCTGAAACAATCAACAAGGTGATTCATTGAGTCTCACTGCTCCAACACTACCAGACAATAAAGAAAGACACTCATGGTCATCTCTAGAGGCTCCTCTGTTTACTCTGTACAGTTTCACTTCCACTACAATGGACAAGCTCTACTTTCAGTTCTTGTGCAGATACACACAACCACAGTTTTTAATACCCCAACGACTGCAAAAGAAACCTTTTGTTTTGTTTCTTACAGTCCTTATTTCCATTTGGCTTCTGTAAAGTTTTGAGTTCTGTTAGTTGTGAATGTTGTTATATGAGGATGAATAAAACAAGGCTTGAACTTAAACAAGGAGAACATCTCATATTGCTTCATTGTGTTTCAGTCAAGAAACAATCCAATACAGAATGTTTTTGACAGATAAAGCTCCTTGGCAAATTAAGGCCTGTAATGTAAAATCCAAGCTGAAATATTTGGAATCAAATAATACTGAATTTGTAAAAATGTACACACAAATGTAACAGGGACAATTAAAGACCTTCTATCAACTGTCTGTGGTCGAAATTTTTGTTCACCCTTAATTGGTTCAGAAATTCCTTTTAGAGATTCAGAAAACAATCATAACCAAAAACAAACACAATTGTTTTGCATTCCATTACATCCAAAAAAGGTAAACATTTTTTGTCGATGCTCAAAAGAAAAAACTCAGTATGAAAACCCTAATCCTCTCTGTTCCTCACTGTTCTGTCGACGTAAAGAACATCATCAATCCACGACACAACATTATAAGCCAAACCTTCTAAAACCCTCGAATAGCTCTCCAATACCGCCTTTCCAACATCCTATCCGAAACAAAAA